TCCAGGCTGCCCCAGTCCGGTCTGCAAGACTACACGCATCGGGAAATGTCCATGAAGGAACATGAGCAGCTCAGAATGTGATCACGGAAGATTCGTCCAAGCGACAGGCTGTCCGTGCCCCTCTCGGCACGGCCCTTCAGGTCGCTGCGGCGTAAGTAGGGTTTCGAGCGGGTGAGGTTTAACGAGCAATTAGGCGCCGGAGATGTGCCGGTTTGTAGCATTATTCACGCGGTCTTTTATATATACTTTATATATGATGTCCGCGGACGTGCAAGGTATTGCACGACATAGCGACCACATAAGACATAACCAAATTACAGCCAGTTCCTCAAAAAAAAAGATAGTATTACACAATTTATTGGACCGGCCTATTATAATTGCGACCCGGGCTTTATGTTTGCATCACGGAAAGCTTGCGGATTTTGGCCAACTTGTTTCGGAGAAATAATTTACCTGCTTCCCATCTGAAACCGATTTTTTCGGCAATTCGTTACGCGCAGGCATTTGTTGGTTGCATTTTTGGAGCAGCGCTGGATTGATTAGGCTCGGAGGCTCTAGTCAATTGGAAATGTCCCTTTGTCCTCCTAGCACTTCTGCTAGCACAGCAAGTAGTAGCTCTCGATGCTTATTCGCAGTGTCCGCATTACCTAGAATCAGGAGCGCAACCCGAAGGGTCACGTATGAAGTGCGCGCAGCTACTTCAGCGAACCCGGATCCTGAAAAGGGCCAGCCAGCAGGTTCAAAAGGAGCAAACACAGCCTTTCCGACACAAAGCTTGGCCCACCTGTGGCCAAACGTGTCGTGGAGTCGTTACCACATCCAAGTCCTCTTCGTAAGTGAAATCGGAAGCAACAGCATTGTGCTCGGTTTCAGTTATCCGTCGCCTCGTGTGTTCAATTGGATTCCGGAAAGATGCGGTTGCACCAGCTTCACCGAGGCCGCAAGGCGTGGCCTATGTCCCGTGGCGAGTCATAGTTAAGGAGTCTCCTCAACATACAAAGCTTGGCTTGCAGTTTAGTTTATCCTAAGTCTTCCAGCGTCACATTTCACACAATTGCCCATAAGAGTACCGTAACTAATTTCTGTGCAACCCCAATCACCACCAAGCTCGATGCCACTCCCAACCCAACCAGGTCGACCGCACGGACACAGTTCGCGCGCGGCTTGCGGCGGGCCTATTCGAACGCTGTGCCGAGTGGAATGGCTACGGGAGGTGCGAGCGGTAGCCACGTGGCCCGGGGTCGCCGTGCCCTACTGCCACCATCTTCAGCCCTGTTAGGTCAAATCATTATGCTTGCCTGTGGCTGTCGCCACATCATCCTCACACGCTCTCCTACCTGGCGTTCCTCTTCTGGGCAGCCTCTTCATCACCCATCACCGTGGTGCACAAGGAGGGGGCGTTGTGTGTGCCTAGGCATTCATCCCTGGCACACTCCCAACACGGCTATAAAAATATGCGAACTCCTCAGTGGCAGGCCCCATATATACAACCACACTTCCATGTGGATTCTGTACTCGCATACCGCAGCCTGCCCCACCTCTCAGCTCTCTGTACCTGTGCTGCACCTTGCCGTACTCGCCAGACAATTTTGCGGACAAATTTTTATCTTAGCCTCTGCGATCTATCTCTTTCTTGGCAGGGCTCTGTATCCCTGGACCTGCGGTATGGCGGTGGGCGGGCCCCGTGACATCCACGCCATTTCCAAACTTACAGCCCTAATGCGAGGAGCCAGCGATCTAGAAATCCTGCCTCGCTACTTCACTCGACCTGCGGAGGCCTTTGAGCTCGAGGATTTGGACCGCTACGACTTGGTCATGGCGCTAGATTCGCAGATTCTGGACGAGATGCGTCAAATGGTGGTTTCGGAGCACCAAGCCGGACCGGATCGAGACTACTACCTCGAGGTCGGTGATTTGCGACCCGTGATGGACGCACGATGGGGTATGGAGCAGTAGCTCGCCTATATCTTATCAATTCCTACCTATTGTGTGCGGGGTGTTTCCGCTGCGAATGACTTCCTCACCCTGGGCCTAACAAGACCCAGACGAAACGTACAGAAGGGCCAGAAAAATGGCTGAGAGTTTTTTTTTCTTTGCAGCCATGTCCTGTGGCTCCCGCTTTCTGCATTCCGGCAGCGTGATTCAATTCGACTCCGGTTCCGGATCCACATCTTGGATCTGATAAGATCGCAATCTTTAATTCCACAGAAAATTTGCCTCCTTACGACATTCAGCCATTATGAGTCGGATGCGGTGCTCACGCGGCGAGGCGGTTTCGCGCTGCTGCCGGCGCAGCTGTCCTTCCTGCTGAAGACTGGGGCCGGTGGCCTCAAGGTGGGTGATCAACGGAGGGAACGGAAGCAGAAAGGGTGGGCAGGAGGGAGGAATGGGGTACTGGGGGGTTTGGCTGAATGGGAGGAGTTGTGGATGAAAAGTAATAATGACAAACATAACTGGGGGGGCGGCTTTTCAAAGCCGAAAAGGGGCTCGGCCCCGGTGCAGCCACTTACAGGAAAGCTATCTTTGTCGATTTATCTGGAATGTCTCCTTTGGCATTTCGATGTAGAATAGATATAGCTTCTACATTCAATCTTTTGCGGAGCGAGATATGTAACTTTATGTTTAACTCGGAGCCATGGAAAGCTATCTTCGCGCTCCGATTTATCTGGAATGTCTCCTTTGGCATTTCGATGTAGAATGGATATAGCATTCAAACGCTATTTTTTGCGGGGCGAGATATGTAAGCCACTGACTGACTGACTGACTGACTGACTGATTGACTGACTGACTGACTGACTGACTGACTGACAGCAGTGAACCCGGGGGGGCTCGGCCCCCCGAATGGCGCTTCGCGCCCGGGGCCTCGCCCAAAAATATTATAAAAATAATATTGTCATATTTTATTAGGAATAATTATGTATGAACGGTTAAAGCAATTATGAACCGGTTATGTGGCTGAGCGGGAGCCAATACCCACCAGGACTTGCTTGCATGTCTCCTCTCATCCCGCCATGCACTTCCGCGCCCCTCACCTCTGCTCGTCTTACTCACTATTTTATCTTTTTCTCAGGCGAGCAAGGCGGTGGTGGACATCGCCTCACCCGACCTCTCTTCCCCCGATGGAGCCGCACAATGGGAGGCCACCGTGGCTGCTCTCATCCTCTCGACCGCCAGCCTAGTAAAGTACCTCATAGATGCCTACCCGGAAAACCTGCCCCACTGGGACCCCATAGACTGAGCATATTTGCATGGTGAAAGCCATGGAAACACGGATACAAGTGCCGTGGGCTCAGTATTTTGTGTCAAGCACTGTTGACTGCACCACGGATGCAGGGTGCATGTTCCCTCTTGGGGAGCAGACTGCCAGCAAATGCTGAGCGGAAGAGGTGTGCCTGAGTTTGTCCTTGTTCAGTTGCTTGCCTGCTGCACACTTGGCTCGGTTTGGCATGGCATGGTGCAGATCAGTTGGCGTAGTGTGGCGTGGTGTGGCTTGTCCTGGTTGCAGTGACACAGCGTGCCCAACCCCGCCGAATGCCATGTTTTTTGTTTGCCACAGTGAAGCGGGCTTCTTGGTGCCCATTGCAGTCAGGAAACTAGAGTCCCTTGGCCTGCTTGGTGCCAGCACTGCTGTACCCACTAGGGGTTATCACCATCGATGGCATGTCCAGTAGTGGTGCAGCCACCACTGCTATTCTCAATTTGCTGCCCTAGCTTGGGGAATGGAGGGTGCGTGATCAGATGAGGAAGTGGGAGGTGAGGAGTCACCCCTGGCGGCGCAGTGATACGAGGTTGCGGATGGTTTCGATTCCAGCCGTACACAACAAACTGCCCCGTGGATGTCAGTTACACATATCGGTACCTTTGTATTTGGTGTCCTGTGTTTCCCAACACCCCCAAACGGAGGAGTGGAGCCTGAGCCCATAGCAAATCATGCTTGGGTGTGCCTGATGCCGTTAATGAAGTTCGTTAGGCTTGCAGGGGCCTTTGTTCAGGGGATAGCCCCTTTCCGTCTTGGTTCATGGTTTCGGAGGGTCATGTAATGTGAGGAGTTCAGGAGGTCGGAAACTTTCGTACTGTTGTAATGTAACAGATGAGCTGTATGTACGTATGTATGTATGTGGCGTATTGATGTGTGTCCATGTTTGCAGGTTCACACTGAAGCGCTGCTTGGTGACCTCTCAAATGCCACCTCGCGAAACCACAAAATGAACGAGCTTCAAGCGCGCTGAAGCACTCCACGACAGGGTTCTTCACCAGGGTACCCAAAAATTTCGGCCGTGTCCGAAACCCTCTGAATAACCTTTCGGGGCCTCCCCGAAAATTTTCCTGTCAGCCGGAGAGTGTTTTCGGGTACCCCGAAACTGTCTGAAGCGGTTTTCGGGGTAAAATTTAGCTGGATTCTATCGTTATATGCTAGGACGGCTGAATTAACAGGTGTTTGACTTTATTTTGGAACATAGCTCTTAGGATTTTACCCAAAGCAAGGCTATCTTAGACTTCATAACTGAAAACTCTTTCTGCAAAACGTCAAGTTCGCTGACATCGAAGGCAAACAGGCGGTTCGAGCTTGCCGAAGCCGCGAATCCCGAGGGAGATGCGGGGCACCTTGGTTGGGCGCTCATCATCAGTTGACTCGGGCATGTTTAACTATGCTTAGATGTATGAAAATGTGGGATATGGATATGCTTAGATGTATGAAAATGTGGCATATGGATATGCTTAGATGTATGCAGCCGCGAAACAGCCGCAATGCACATTTGTACTCATTGTTTGGCTGGTGACCAAGCGGGCCTTATACGGCAAGCCTGGTTTCCAGGCCCCGTCTGCGCCCGAAAACATGCAAATCTACGCTGACATATCGTTCGGTATTCTCCAAAAATGCCTTCAAAAGGCTTCGGTGGGGTCCCCGAAAAAATGCTCTAAAAGGCCCCAAATCCGTTCGGAATGCTCCGGGCCTCACTAATTTTCCTTTCGGGCAAAACGGAAATATCTCAAAAAAGTTCGGGCCCGAATCGGGGTGAAGAACCCTGCTCCACGAGGCCTTATGAAGGGGCGTATGTGTCTTGAAAGAACTGGAAGGAATAATAATCCTTTTTATATTGTGGTGGTGCTGGTGGTGATTCCGAGAGCACACGGATGAGTTGTCAGAGCGAGGCTTCGGTCGCAGCCGCCAGCTTGGAGCGAGGACATTTTTTGCGCACAACCCGAGTTTGGTCCGAAGTGCAGCCCAAGATAGCGGACGCGCGTTTTCCACGTGACCGGCCAGAACATCGGCAGCCCTTTCTCAAGCACGCGCAGGGTGAGGTCATATGCGCTGAGAGCATAAACCTGCCTTCTAACCTGTACATTGGGATGTAAAAACAACAGCTTACACTTTCGCGCATTCACAGTAACACCGAAAACCCCCGTCAGGCCTCACGGGGCCGGAATCCCGGAATTTGACCTCATGAATTCCCAAGGAAATCCGGGCCAAATCCCATTGGGATTTGAGGATTTGACCCAAAACAATAAGCAATATAATGGTCATGCAAAGAATTCTTCGGGCTTGGCATTTGAGGATTTGATACCTCCCTAAACATTTATCATCATGCAACATGGCCACGCAAAGAATTCCACGCGCAACCGTTACAATATATTGCGTATGTTCGAGCGGCATGTTATGCTCGTGCCAGTCAGTCCTCGCGCTGCATGCCCTCAAACCTTTTAGTTAGACTTTTAGTATTAGAGTTATTCCTCCAAAGCCGGCGCTCACCGCAAAGAGCGATGGCAGACAGCGGCGACGGACAACGAGGTGCGAAGCCCAGATTGGCGGAAATGCGGAAAGAGAATCCGCATTTCCGCGTTTGCTGTACGGCGGAATATGAAAAACAGATTCCAGGCATGCGTTTGCCATTTAAAGACTGCGTTTTACACGATGGAGTTATTAGATTAAGTCAAATGTCAACAACCACTGGCCCCGACCTGGGGGCTGCCGAAGTCATAGAGATTGACTGTGTTTCTGCTCAGAAGAAGGGTTTTTGATAATTGATTCCACAATGTCCGTAAACGTGGTTGAAGTTGAACAGAGCCACGTCGTTGCAGTTATCGTTGTGCGGTGCCATTTTTAGATACTTTAGCCCTCTCGCCTTTTTTATTCCTTTTGATTTTTTTATTTTGTTCATATTCATATTGTTTGGATGATTACTGGATTAATGCACAGTCAGCATAGACTTGTCCGTATGTGGAGTAGGCATGCAGACATGTCACTGCTCCGCAACGTACAGGGAGACGATTATTATTCAGTGTTTCAGGGCTCCCCGGGCCCATACCCCATGTAACATACGAGTGGCAATTTCTGAGCATCCCAGAGCAATCCGTCAGCCAACAACACTATGGGGGTGGTATATGATAGGGCTGCTCAGGCCTGGGGTCTCAGGGTTCAAAGAGAGGCGGGCTGCTTGAAGGGGGCAGGGTGAACACCGTCAAGGGTGTGGGCACACAATAGTTGATCGCTTGGCCCCCGCCACCCCCAGTAATACGTTTAGGTGGCTCTACCTTCGAGCACGATTGGAATCCACCAGATTCTAGATCCCACCGGACAGAACCGCACTGCCACAAGCTGGTTTCAGACTGTCCATGTTATCGCCACACTGAGAAGAGCTAAAAAACATCGTTACATATTCATTTTATAGTTTTCGCAGCTTTCCGCAGTTTCCGCAGCCTTTCCGCAAAGGGCCTCCCGATTACGAAAAGTTTCCGCAGACCTGGTCAAGTTTCGGCTCGTTCCCTGCTTTCCTTTTGCTAAAGTGCCGCTTCGCCAGACGCTTCCTCTTCCCGCGGCCGTTTCATGACCCCGTCTTGCAAGCAAAGTTGTAAGCTTCCAGTTACGTCATAACAGCCACCCATTCCTCCGGGCCTGCTTGCCGCGTGCGACTGTGGCCAACATGCCCTACTGCGCAGCGCGCTGGCACACCGCGGCCTTTCGCCGAAAAAATTACATACACTTGTACACGCGCATTTTGAGAATCGCACATGTGCATCCGCGCGGTAAATTTCGCGCCTGGCTTTTGGGGCGTCTTGTACGAACGGTTTATTCGGCACAGTACGACCGGACACAATTGTGCGAGGGGCTGCTTAACCAAGCACTGTATCATTAACACGCATCAAAGGTGTTAAGGTTCAGAAATCCGCAATTTTTTTGGGACTGACGCCGTCCCCATCGCGGGCGACATTTGCACATTGCTGGACTGAGCCCAAGAACTTGGCCTCTCTTAAACTTCGGTCAAACGTAAACCCTGCCTCAGCATACAGCGTGTAGCGGTCCTTCAGCCCTTGTTGTGCTTCAGCACTCTCGCATCCCAACACAACAACGCACGAAATAGGGGGGTCCTTGTGAAGCAGCTGCCCGCGTTTCCAAAGCACGTATGGTGTTGGATTGTAAGGTGCCCAAGTACGTTTGCGAGGAAGAGAATGTGGCCAGGCTGGAGAGGAAAGTGCAGTGGCATATTGGAATGTGAGATTAGCGTAAGCGAGTTACAGGGCGTTTTATTGCACGGGCGAATTTACGTGCAAATCTTTCACCGTAGCATCAGTCCTCAGTTCACTTCTTGGAACGAACATCAGCATAGGTGCAAGCCCTCTCGCTTGGAGGGATATGCAAACAAACATCCTGATAGGGGTAAACTCGCACGCTACCGAGCATTCAACATAGCACATGCATGCTTAGTTGAATGGTGAGATGCGACCCCCCCTTCATTTCGTGCTCGGCAAGCCTGCCACCGCGTACCGGATATGTTGGCGATGTTACAGAACGCTGCACCTTGGTTTCTGTGCGCATTGCGTACGTTGCTCGACCCCGCCGACCAAAACTACACGTGCCCAACTGAAGACATTCCCGGTGGTTGTGCAGCAGCTCTTGAGGCTGTTGCTGGCTGAAATCCATCCTGAGCTGTTGCAACACGGCTAACGCGGGCACGTCCCTATGCACAGCAAATAGCTGTTCCAAGCCAACAGCGGCGTCCATGTCACCGACAAGGCTCTAAACGTCTTATCTGTTCTTATGTTTAATTAAGTTTATGTATGTTATACTTTGCGCAACTTTGTAATTTGACTTTACTCTGAACAAGGTGCTGCATACAACTGCCTCTTCGCCAGCGCTTCCTCTTCCGCGGCCATTCCATGAGCGCGGTCTTGAAACCAAGTTATATGCTTTCAGTTACGTCAACACAGCCATACATTCCTACGGTCCTGCTTGCCGCGTGCAACTGTGGCCAACATGCCGTCGCACAAGCGCGCTGACACACCGCGACTTTTCGCCAAGAAAATTTACATACACTTGTACACGCGCATTTTGAGAATCGCACGCGCGCAACCGCGCGGTGAATTCGCTCCTGGCTTTTGGGACGAAGTACGGAGGGTTTATTCGGCAGAGTACGACCGGACACATTTGTGCGAAGGGGCTGCTTAACGAGCGGTCAGCAGAAATGAGGCTCACAACTATAGATCGTAAACAGTAGTTGGACCTCAGAGCTCAGCAGCCCTTGCATCGGTTGCGAAAGCGCTACTTTACAGTGTCGCCTAGCGCGCCCTGCGCGCAAGCCATGGACCAGGAGGCCCAGGATGCCATGCTGATTGTACATCTTTCAGAAGCATTCAATAAGGACGAGGTGTGGCAGCTGGCCGCCGCAGAAGCATGGAGCAAGGCCACGAATCTGGAACGTGTGCTAATTCGCGGTAGCACAGAGGCCAAACAGCTGAAGCTCGTGGATGTGCTTATCCGTAAAAGTAGGTCATGCACTGGGAGCTGAGAAGGCTTGAAGTGTCGGGAGGCTCTGTGTTGCTGGGTGATCTCGTGCCTGAAACTTGAAACAACTCGTCACACGGGTCCCCCGACCACTCCCATGTCCTGCAGCCTCGGCGGCTGGCCTCGGTGCGGGGAGCGCGGCTGGAGCCGGTGAGTTGGTTGTGCTAGCCCAGGCTTGACCTGACCTAAGACTCTGGCTCTAGTGTCCCGCGGCAGTGTAGTACGGAAGTGTTTGAGCTATCGTGAACAGTGCTGCTGCTGGGGATCATTTCAAGAGGCTGTAGGGTGAGCAACGGCACATTTGTAGTTCTGAGTTCGGAGCACACCAGCCCCATGTGAAGCATGCCGGCATGTTGCGATTGAATCCCTGATTGCACAACCACCGCCTCTGTCTCTTCAGGATACAGCTTGATGTGCAATAATCCTGACCTGCATACATGTGACGTTCTCGTCATGCAGGCGCGGCGGCAGGGCCGGGCCCCGGGAGCACGGCAGCTGACGGTGAGACCCCATCTGCATTGCAGGGCCTCTAGGCCTGGTGCTCGTGGGAAGGGAACCGATCCTCAGGGTGAACGAATGCCATAGGATCCGATGTGGTGTAGCCTCGCAGCAACACATATACATGACGTGTAGCATCAGTCCTCAGTTCACTTCTTGTAACAAACATCAGCATAGGTCCAAGCCCTCTCACTTGGAGGGATATGCAAACAAACATCATGATAGGTAAACTCTCACACTACTGAGCATTCAACCGAGTGGCGGCGGTGGCGGCATATAGCCGCAATAATCAACTGCTGTAACGGCCATCATCATCATCATCATCATGATCATCATCATCATTAACAATCATGGTCATCAGCATCAGTTGCCGTCATTCAAGGCTTGAAAACTTGTTGGCTGCATCCAGCGCCAACAATGGGGAATGACTGAACGAACGGTGTCGTACAATAAATGGCCATACCGATGGGTCGGGTTCGGTCGAAGGAACATCTTAAGGAGCCAAGTGACAGGGGATGCAGACCAGGGGAGTTCACCAGCACCAGCAGGTGGTGGGCGGGGTGCTGGGACATGGTATGCACCAAGGGTATGCACGCGACACAAGTGTGGCAAGGGGCTGCGGTGCGGGATGGGGCCCCTTGCAGGACCATATGCTGCGTGCGTTATACCACATCGTATCCTCCTACAACAGGCAATGCCATTCCATGCTCACATGCGGAAGGAGGCGCCGGGGGTGGCTGTGATGTCAAACAAGGTCTAACATATATAAACAACATGGTGCTGCACGTTGTGCTGCTCAGTTTTGATGGCTATCTACATCCTTGCGCGCCGCTGTGCAGGAGGCGCATGGATGCGGCTGGAATTTGAGAAGCTTGCGATATCCTCTCTTAACAAGATTCAAGCGACTCTGACGGTGAGGGTTGGCCCTTGTTGTGCAGGGTCGCAATTGAAGGGGTATGCTATCACCTTTGGTGCACTCATTTGCCTGCGAGCACTGCTCCTTTCCGTACAACACACCCTAACCACTCCGTCTGAGCATGCCCTGCCTGTCGGCTGCGCAGAACCTCCAGCTATCTGTCCCCATAGTCACGGTCACTCCATCATCCTGCTCATCGACACAATGCAAGCGGATAGAGGAGGCAGTGAGCGTGCGGTTCAACTATGTCACAGCCGCTCAGGCGCCGTGCTGCTGTCCATTTGCGAAGCCCTGGTCTCCCGAGGAGCCATCCAGGTTCAGCTGGGGAAGGGCCGGTGAGGATGAGCCTAAAACCATCGCAAGCGCGGTGGAACATCTACAGCAGATCGCCCCAGCAGGTATGAGTATGCATATGCAGGATGCTCAGGTGCATGCCGGAGGAGTGGTAGTGGGACATCTCGTTTGCATATATGGGGTTGCATGGGACTTGTGCACCCGTCATTGTGTCAACCTCTGCCCATCAGTTTGCGGCCTTCGGGATCTGTGCCGGTCACTTAATGACCTTCCTAAAGCTGTGCCCAATCCCATGTCATTGTTGCCCTGCAGATGTGGTGGTCCTCCCTGTGCAGGCCATCGAGTGGCTGGCGGGTGGGGTCCTCTGCGGCGACATCAACATCGTAATCAAGACGTCCAAGACGTCCAAGATGGACTACATCTTCGTCCCTGAGGCAGCCTGGAAGGATTGCCAGGAGCGGTTCGGTGCGGAGCTGTTTGAAGGGTATAAGCTGCGCGTCACGTCGGGCACGATGACTAGTGCGCTGCTGTCCATGCTTGACTCAGTCATTGCGCTGTACGAGGCCAAGACCGAGAAGGCCCTGAAGGACAGCCTGCCGAGTGTGCGTGCCCAGGCGCTGCTCGAGTATCTGGCGATCAACCAGATGAAGGACTGGCCGACTGGTGAGTGCCGATTGGCATGCTCTGCCACCAGCGCTGGATTGACACAGGCCTGTGCAGGAATCGATACAGGTTTCGGCGCTACACCATCCCACGCAATGCCATACTTGCTTCCCACTGAGCTGGCTGCTCCCATACCCTGCCCAACACAGACGATGTGATCGTGCTGTTCGGTGACCTCAACCAACACTTCGTGGTGCACGCCGGCCGCAAGGATGCAGACATGCCAAAGAGATCCATTCACGTGGCGGGGCCGGCCCCACTTCCCGCTGTGCTGGAGGAGTCCCCCTCTACAGTGGCAGACAGGAGCCCTCTGAGCTCAACGCTTGGGTTCATACGGGCTCTGCTGGAGACAAGCCGGACTGAAGAGGCCAGCAGTACCGGTGGAGGTTTGGGGCGAGGGGCCACCAGGAACGATGAGGGAGGTTCTGGCAGCTGCAGGCAAGGCACCACCAACAGCCGCAGGGAAGGGGCCCACGGTAGCGGGGGAGCCGCCAGCGGCAGTGGAGGCAGGGGGGCTGGCAGTGACAGCGGCCATAGTGATGCCGCTGATGCCGCCGACAACTGGGCAGGGGCTGGCAGCGGCAGGAGGCACGGAAGGTCTGGCAGCAGCAGTGCTGACAGCTCAGGCAGCTCGGTTGGCGGAGAGAGCTTTGATGGGGATGAGGGGATTCTGGAGGCAGCACGGGACAACGTGAGTGCGCAGGCCTTCATGTCGCTCCTGCGGCTGCCCGAGGTGTACGAGCCGCTGGGGTTCAAGGAGCCGCCCAAGTCCTTCCGACCCCCAACGAAGGAGGAGTTGCTGGCCAGGTTCCGGCCTTTTGAGGGTTAGGGAGCGAGGCAACCGGCGCACACACCTGGTGCTCCTTGACCGTGTGCACTGCGCATTCAGTCATTCATACTGCAGCACTACCGCAGCCTCTGCCGCATGCACTGCTGGTGGTGACAAGGTGCTCCCCGGCAGCACAGGGCATCACTAAGCCGCACTGTCCTGCCGTCGCATCCTTCCACCACCGCTGGGGTGGGCATGAACAGCAGGGGCTTGGCACCATTGAGCTGGGCCACTGGGTGTGGCGGGACTCTGGCGGTGTGGGTGTGGGTGTGTACATGGGGCGTGCTTGTATGAGACCAAGAGACATCAGGGATGGAATGCGTGTTGCAGAATATAATTCAGCAGATTGCTCGGTGGATTGCATGTGTGTGTGACTGTGTGTGTTTGAGAACAGAAGACTTTAGCGAAAGACGTGTATGCATTGCCGTACATACTGACTGTGTGTGTGTGTGTGTGTGAACTACAAAAAAGGAAAAGCGGAACACGGAATGTGTGCAATTGCGGTGCAACAGCAAAGGCAGCAGCTCTAGGTGTTACCTTGTGAGCGATACAAGCCTTGCGCGTGCAGGTGTTGCAATGTGCACAGTGTGTATGTAGAGGGGTGCGGCAGCGGCCGGTGCAGGGTGTAGAGCTGTAGCTGAACAATACCTGCGGCAGCGGCTTGTGATAGCCAGGTGCTGGGTGGTGGGCCTGAGGGCAGTAGTGTGGGGCGGTAGTGAAGCCTTAACTGCCACGGAACGCGCATTCTGGGAAGAGTACGCATTGTGGGAAGAGTAGATAGGGACGGGGTTGTGCTGCATGGCGGGTTGTGACCTGGCGGCTCAGCCCTGATGTCCGTTTTGCTATTAGGCGTATTGAGGGAAGCTAGGACACATGCTGATATGGGTTTTGAACAGGACTGCTGGAGCGAGCGGGAAGTACTGTGGTGTCACGGCACCTACTGTACTGTAGGGTGTCGAAAGTTCACGTGGACTGGCAGCACACTTGAAACTGCTTCCGACTTCACGCATGTCGTGCCTTCATGCCGGCTTTGCATTTCACCGGCAGCTGGGGCTTACCTTTAGTCCGTGGCATGTCGTGCTGCCACTCGGCTACATTGGGGCCTACACCTAGCTGTATTGCAGGTGTTCTCTTATGCACTAACAACAACAGAACGGCCCTTGTAACGAATCTGGGGAACCCAACTTTGGGGTGTGTAAGGAGAGCCTCCAAGTCTAGGCGTGAAAGCGCATAGCAACATCACTTGACCTCAGGGCTCTCATAAAGATGTTGAGCTTTATTACACCTCCATGCAGGCGGGTAAAGCTTGGCCCCGGTTAGGATTGGGGTCACAGAACCATCAATCGCCCCTTTTACCATCACCGTGCCCCCTTCCACCGTCGCCATCCCTGCTGTCTCCCCTGCCACCGTCACCAACCCCGTCATCGCCCTAGCAACCCGACGTCACCCCTTCCACTGCCGCCGTCGCCGTTGCCTGAGCTGCCGTCGCCATCCCAGCCATCACCCAAAGCACCGTCGCCCCTGACGCCATCAACCCTGCCACCGTCGCCATCCCCGCCGTCACCCCTGCCACCGTCACTATCCCCGCTGTCGGCCCTGCCACCGTCACCATCCCCGCTGTCGGCCCTGCCACAATCACCAACCCCGCCGTCTCCCCTTTCAACATCACCGTCCCCGCCGTCGCCCCTGCAACCGCTGCCAACCCCAGCGCTGCCTGAGCCACCGTCACCAACCCTGCCGTCAACTGTGCCACCCGCCGTCGCCCCTTCTACCATCACCATCCCCGGCGCCGACCCTGCCGCCGTCGCCATATGCATCCCCGCCGTTGGCCGAGCAACCGTCGCCATCCCCGCCGTCACCCTAGCCACCGGAACCGCTGCCGCAATCACCCCTGCCACCGTCGCCATCCCCACCGTCACCCCTGCCACCGTCGCCATCCCCGCCGTCACCCCTGCCACCGTCGCCATCCCTGCCGTCACCCCTGCCACCGTCGCCATCCGAGCCGTCACCCCTGCCACCGTCACCATCCCCGCCGTCACTCCTACCACCGTCACCAACCCGCCGTCACCCTGCCACCGTCACCAACCCCGCCGTCACCCTAGCCACCGTCACTATCCCCGCCGTCGGCCCTGCCACCGTCACCAACCTCGCCGTCGCCCTAGCCACCGTCACTATCCCCGCCGTCAGCCCTGCCACCGTCACTATCCCCGCCGTCGGCCCTGCCACCGTCACCAACCTCGCCGTCGCCCTAGCCACCGTCACTATCCCCGCCGTCACCCCTGCCACCGTCGCCATCCCCGCCGTCGCCCCTGCCACCGTCACCATCCCCGCCGTCACCCCTGCCACCGTCGCCAACCTCGCCGTCGCCCTAGCCACCGTCACTATCCCCGCCGTCACCCCTGCCACCATCGCCATCCCCGCCGTCACCCCTGCCACCGTCGCCATGCCTGCCGTCACCCCTGCCACCGTAACCAACCCTGCCGTCACCCCTGCCACCGTCACCAACCCCACCGTCGCCCTAGCCACCGTCACTATCCCCGCCGTCGGCCCTGCCACCGTCACCATCCCCGCCGTCGGCCCTGCAACGGCGACCTGGAGGCGCGGCCCCTACAATACTACAGCAGCACGGTGGTCCCCTTTCGCCGCGTGCTCAGCGCCCATGTGCAGCTGAGCCTCGACCGGGCACAGCGGGATGGCAAGATGGCTGGGAGCTGGACCTTCCGGGACTGTCGCTCCATAGAAAACGTCCTCATCGGGCTTCAAACTGCAGAGCTGCAGGAGCCGCCCATCACAGGCAGTGTGTCGGAGTTGTCGGAGGTCAAGAGCATGAGCAGTGCTCCTGCTGCACTGTAGGCATTGTCGTAGGAGCTTGCCATTCTCTTGCCGCAGTCGCAGCCGAGCTGGGTGGCAAACATGCAGGATGTGGCAGGAGGCTGGCTGGCAGCGGCAACGTGCAGCCGCCAGCAGCGACTGCTGCGCACAGAGCTGTACGACTAGGCTGTGGCGGCGGGGCGGTAGCTGCAGCCGCGCGCGGAATCGCGTGGCGGCGCTGCTGGTGGTGCTTGGTGCGCGGGCCTGGTGGCAGGGTGGCTAGGCACCGCCGAGGGTGGAATCGTGGTTGCTTACCAAGGCCGTGCGGCGCCTGCACCTATAAGGCTCGCATTAGGCTCTAGTCAGGGCGGAGGCTCTAGTCAACTGGAAATGTCCCTTTGTCCTCCTAGCACTTCTGCTTGCACAGCAAGTAGTAGCGCTCGATGCTTATTCGCAGTGTCCGCATTACCTAGAATCAGGAGCGCAACCCGAAGGGTCACGTATGAAGTGCGCGCAGCTACTTCAGCGAACCCGGATCCTGGAAAGGGCCAGCCAGCAGGTTCAAAAGGAGCAACACAGCCTTTCCGACACAAAGCTTGGCCCACCTGTGGCCAAACGTGTCGTGGAGTCGTTACCACATCCAAGTCCTCTTCGTAAGTGTGATTTTGCGAAATCGGAAGCAACAGCATTGTGCTCGGTTTCAGTTATCCGTCGCCTCGTGTGTTCAATTGGATTCCGGAAAGATGCGGTTGCACCAGCTTCACCGAGGCCGCAAGGCGTGGCCTATGTCCCGCGGCGAGTCATAGTTAAGGAGTCTCCTCAACATACAAAGCTTGGCTTGCAGTTTAGTTTATCCTAAGTCTTCCAGCGTCACATTTCACACAATTACCCATAGAAGTACCGTAACTAATTTCTGTGCAACCCCAATCACCACCAAGCTCGATGCCACTCCCAACCCAACCAGGTCGACCGCACGGACACAGTTCGCGCGCGGCTTGCGGCGGGCCTATTCGAACGCTGTGCCGAGTGGAATGGCTATGGGAGGTGCGAACAGTAGCCACGTGGCCCGGGGTCGCCGTGCCCTACTGCCACCGTCCCCAGCCCTGTTAGGTCAAATCATTATGCTTGCCTGTGGCTGTCGCCACATCATCCTCACACGCTCTCCTACCTGGCGTTCCTCTTCGTCTCACATTCTACATCGCAGCCTGCCCCACCTCTCAGCTCTCTGTACCTGTGCTGTACCCTTGCCGTACTCGCCAGACAATTTTGCGGACAAATTTTTATCTTAGCCTCTGCGATCCATCTCTTCCTTGGCAGGGGACGGAAGCAGAAAGCGAATATAGAGGTGGTGTAGAGCGTCCGGTTTGCATATTCCATGTGGACCTCTGGCCTCACTGGGACCGTCCGTGAATCCACGGTTGAGTCCGTTGGTGTAGATGCCAGTGTTGCATTCCGGTCCGTTGATTACGCAGCCCCTTGTTAAGCAGAAGCGGATCCTGTGGCGCATATGATGCGTGTAGCCCCTACACGGGAGATACTTGTGGAGGAGGAGGGGGAGTGTGTGGTGAGGATTCATGCGGTAGTAGGTTTGCGTACGTGTGCGTGTAGGGGAAGAGGAGGTAGTGCGGTGAGGGGTGAATGATGGCCTGCGGTGGTTTACCTTTGTATTATTGATTAAGGAGGCTGCCGACCCAGATGCCAGATCAGGTCAGAGTTGACGTGCATCACATGCCAACGACTGTCTGCTGTGGTTTAAGGCGCTGTGAGGAAGAAAGCTTAACGATTGCCACACATTAGCGTGAGGTGGAGCTGATGTGCGCATACTTGGGCAGACACCATTTGGTGGCGATATTTGCTACGCCGAGGATCGAAGCCGGGCAGCCTCCAGCCGGGGGCAGCTCCGAGTTTATGCCGTTCCAGCACCTGTTGTATGGCGTCGCGCAATCGGCGCGTCATGGCGGAACGCTTTGTGTTCGACTTCCATAGTCGCATTGCGTTGACTGCGCCGCGCCGCGCTGAATCCTCGGGCGAGTCGCCGGTAACTGCCCCATCCATACCGATCTGTTTTCGTAAAGGCCGTAGATTGGGCATGATAATGTCCTCGATATTGAGGCTATGGGTTTGTCCCGGCGCTAGCTGCGAAACATTCTCCTTCGTCACGGATCCCATGTCGAGGTAGCAGCGCGTAGGCATCGGTCTCTTTGCCAATCCTTTCCTGGTATTGTATCAGCTGCTTTTGGTAAAGGCGTAAGTAAGGGTGCACGGGCCAAGCGTTTGAAACGATAGGCGTGGTGTATCTTTCGGTGTAACGGTGTAACACATGAGGTGGCCGATTAGACGTAGGGCTTGCGCTTGTACCCGCTATCAGTAACCGTAGTAGCGTTGAGCAAAATGATATCAATTGCGACGCGCGTAGCGGGCCACTTCGGACTATGATTCGGACTTAAATGTCAGAGTCTCGTCCATTGTACCGATTACTTCAGCAAATTGTGGACCGGTAGGGCTTACAAGGGATTTATCATTTACATTGGGTTACATACTTTCTGGTGTTATCTGCACTTGTTCATATTTGCTCAACAGTCTCCACCGATTTTGAATAAAGCTGTAGGCTGAATTTGGATAAGCACTATTTTCACCATCTAGTCTTGGGTGAATACATCTAGATTATCGGAAGTCGTCATTCGTCAGCTCCGGGCGCGTGCTTTACTCCTTCCGAGTTGCCGAGCTGCAATTGTCCCTCCCCGACTTCAGCTTGAAATATGCAGTTGCAACACTTCAAGCCTTTCACCTCCTCGGCGCAGAAAGATGCTTGGCATCCTACAAGCCGCTGCGCTTCCTTCCGCACCGGGCGCCGTTCTCCCTTCCCATCGGCCACGCCGGCAGGGCCCGCTGCCAGCAGCAGCACTAGCGGTGGCATCGGAACCAGCAAGCCCCAGGCGTGGGCTCCCCCGAACGGCATCCTCAAAATTAACCCAGCGCTGCTCCAAGCGGGTGCGTTGGCTGGCTTGTACGTTTTAACAAATGTAGCAGTCTCAATCAGTGCTGCCACCAGCAATCCAAAGTCCCCCACTGCGCTAACTAACACCTAGAACGTATGAGATGCTGGCTGCTGCCACCGGCCCGAGGATCCCGCGCGAGTTTTTGACAGCCAGCCACGAACATCTCTCCCCTTTTTGCCATCCTTTCCCCCTTTGCTTCTTGCGTATTATTAATCCAACCCCACCCAACCCCCACCTTTGGCCCCCAAAGGCGGTCTGGACGTGTCCAGGGAGGGTCCTCAGGCTCGAGCCTCCTTCGAGGGCCACCTATCTTCCTTGTTCCTGCCGGTCAACCTGGACCACCCGGGGCTCAGGTAACGGAATGATCAACGAACTAACTAAAGAACGAAGAACTGCCTATGACTGACGGATGGACCATTTGGCTGGCTGACTGGCTGACAGACCGACACGGACAGACGGACAGACGCACAGGCTCCCCAACACGGTTGTGGATTGGATGGGGACTCCTCGGGGTGGCTGGCTGGCTAGGTTGGCTGACAGACAGACGGGCGGACGGACGGACCCTCATACGGCTGTGTGACTGCTACCGGTACCGTGCTTGCCTCCTGAGCACTGAGCCCCTCAGGCGCCTCGAGTGACCCCCCCGTTCCCCCTTCCTTGCCCCCTCCTCCCTCCCCCCCCTTCCTTCACCCTTCACCCTTTCCCTGTCGGCAAGCTTTTAATGTGTTCCTAGCACCTTCCCTCCCTCCGGCCTTTGAGACGCTATGCTGCATTCTTTTCCGTCGACACCTACTCCCCCCCCGCGCACACACACGCATACTGCTTTCTTGCTTATGATCCTTCGCCCCTGTACACACACACTCACACACACATTACGTGCAGGGTGCTCAACATCGATCCCCCAGTGATAACGGTGGAGGGCTTCCTGTCGGCCCCCGAGTGTGACGGCATCGTGAGAAGTGCGGCGGGTGAGTAGAGAAGGGGAGCATGGGGGGAAGGACAGAGGGGCCCGGAGTGGAGGGTCGAAAAAGGGGGAGTTGAGGAGCGGAGAGGAGAGGACGAAGCCATATGTAGAAAGGAAGTAAGGATTGGGATCGTATTGACGGGACGGGGGAAGAGGGGGAGTCGTGCGCCGCTTTCGCTTCCCTGACCTTCTGCCTGTGATTTCGCATTCCGCATTCGCGGCTGCCGCCGCTGCGCGCGTCCTCCTTACCCCTAACCGCCACCTCGCGTGCCTGGGGCTTTCTGGCCCGGACGCCTCTCTCCCTGTCCCTAACCCCCCCTACCAACCCCCCCTTACACGCACATGCACATTCACACGAAACCCTAAGCCCCTCAGACAGTGGCTTGATGAAGCAGTCCGGTGTGGGTGTTAGTGGCTACCAGGTCAAGGATACGGAGAATGTGAGGACTAGCAGCACCCTGGCAGCCACCGCGGAGGTGAGGGAAATGGGGATGGATGGGGATCGAACCACCGACCACGTCGGTCCGCTGCTGCGCGTGCCGTGCGGGGGGAATTCGCATGCATTTGCCCTGTGGATAGGGTTGTAAGCACGACTTTTAGTCGGTTTTACGAGTCCCCGCTGCGGTGCTTCCACGTGCTCTCTCTATAGTCGGGCACCTAACTAACCACCAACCACCATCAACTGGCCCACCTTACGCCCCCAGCTCCAAACCCAAGAATCCCTTTGCTGAGGACAATGGCAGTTCACAGTTGACCCATCTAAATATCGGCAGTTAACTTGAGCCTACTCCCGGCAGGTTCTCTCCCAGCACCCGGAGCTCTCCTCCGCCCTCCACGTGATGCTTTCCCGGGCCAGAGCTCTTCTGGGGGGCCCTCTACCGCCCGAGGGACCCGCAGCATTCAACCGCCCCAACCAGCCCGGTCAGACGGCGTTCGAACTGCCGCAAGTGGCCAGATACCAGCCTGGTAGGTCCAGGGTGGGAGGGAGGGAGGGAGGGGGTGTCAGCAGAAGCCAAGGCAACAACCGATGACGTCTGCAAATGGGGGGTGCGCCCGCAGCGGAGCTATGGAAATGAGAATGTGAATGGATGGGGTGCACAAGTCTTTTTAAGAGAAGGAGAAACTAATCCGTTAGGTAGTCAGTTGTTGTTGCGTGGGGTTAGATAGGTAGCTGCATGGGTAAGTTGCAGTCGGGGAGGGAGTAGGGAAAGGGTGAACTGAGAGGGGTCGGGTGGTCAGTTGCGTCCCCCGGCTGATTGGGGCCAAAGGCCTGTTTCCGAACATGCGCCTGCGTGCTCTGAAACGATGCCGTTGCGCGCACTCGGCTGCGGTTACCTGCCTCCCGCACTCGCTCCCCTATTGCCTGCCTCCCCTACTACGCGCGCATGCACTCGGCGACAGATCCGACCGCCATTTCCTTCCCGCGGCTTAGATACTCCACAACGCTACCTACCTAATCCTACCTAATCCTACCCACCTCTCGGACCACACACTCCCACAGGCCAGCATTTCTTGACCCATGAGGACGCCTTTCCCGCGGCCGTGGTGGGGAGCAAGGGGTATCAGCGGAGAGCGACACTGCTGGTCTACCTGAACGACTGCGAACAAGGTATGTGCGGAAATTGAGCGATGGAGGCTTCTACGTCCCTGTCCTCCATGGCACCTGCCTGCCATCCATCCCTGGAGTTTTGGCCTTGTTGACGATGTTTCCGTTCGCCTCATGCACGCCGTCATGCGTGTGTGGGTGAATGAATGATCAATGCAGGCGGGGCCACCAAGTTCGATATCCTGGACATTGCCGTACAGCCCCGCAAGGGCACGGCGTTGCTGTTCTTCCCCGCCTTCGCAAATGGAATGCCGGACAGGTGCGTGCGTGTGCGTCTGCGTGTGTGCGTCTGTGTGTGGGGGGGGGAAGCCATGTGGCCGGTGGGGTGCAAAAAGGGTTGCGGTGGGAAGACCTGTTGTGTTTGGTTTGGTGCCCCCGTGGTGCCGGGTGGCACAGAGGTTGGGGTAATAGAAACGTCTCCATCTGCTGCCCTTTTCCTACGTCTTCAAACATTACCCATCTGAGCCAACAAGCCAGCCAGAGGTTTCCTATTTGCTTATCTTTCTTGGTCTCCCTGATGACTCTTTCCTCCTGCCCGGTGAATCAGCTCCGAAACATTTGGCTACAGCTCCCAACCGTCTGGACGTTGCCTCTGTCCCGTTCCTCTGTCTACCTACCGCACGAGCAAAGGACGCACATACACACAGACAGACAGACACAAGTTGTTTTACAAATTTGCACGCACGTCGCATCTTGCCAGGCTTCCCAACTTCGTTGGGCTCAGCTACGTAGAAAAAGACGAACACACGCACACGTACGCGGCTCTGCTCTGCGCTGCACTCCTGCTGCTCCCACACAGGCGCACCCTCCACACGGCCCAGGACGCAGTGAGTGAGAAGTGGGTAACGCAGCTGTGGCTCAGTTGTGGGGTACGGACTTCAGTACAGCAGCAGTCGGGGGGCCCCGGCGGCGTGCCGGGTTTTGTACGGGGAACGCGGGGCACTGGCGGGGGCGCGCCGCCTGTCCCCAAGGGTCGAAAGCGCGGTGTTCCGCCGCAGCGAATCAACACTAAGATCTAACACTCCACGCAGCGCCTTGATTGGTATCGCTCTCCTTAAAACCCTCCTGGCCTATGAGAATACCAAGGGTGAATGGTCTTCGTTGTCATATTAAGTTCTGCGGAAGGGGGACGGCAGCAGAGAGCAACACTACCAGTGGCTGATCCGATCGGATCGGGCTTCACCATTGCGGCGATAATTGTTGATTTTCAAACTGGGAGCTCCAGCAGCGGATGAGCTACACCATACAACATGTGATATGCGTTTAAGTTGATGTAACCGGACGAATGGATTGAAATGACGGAGAGCCGTGGGCTTGCTGCAGGGAAGGGGGGCGTGTAGGTAGGGGGTGGGAAGGGGCGGGATTGTGGGCGTGGGTTGAGGAGAGCGACGGAATGTCGTCCTGCATTCGTTCGTACGGAGGAGGAAGTGGAGGAGGAGGTTAAGGAAAAAGTCATCAAACATGCGTGGCGTTGCTCGTATGCTACACGACCGGAGCGTCAAGAAAAAGCTCCGCTGCTGTAGGACAGATAGATATTTGCCTCTTTGCTCCTGATAATGGTATATTATTATTGGTGTGGGGGGGTTGGAGGATATCACGCATACACGAGAAGCACATGCATGAGAAGCACATTTTGCTGGACTGTCAGGTGTACGACAAAATCAGATTTGATATGGATTTCCCACGCTTTGTGCACATGAAGGACGCTATGAAGTGCGAGGTAGGATGGTGCTTATAGGCGATCTGGCAGCCCTTGAACCCTCGGCTCGTATTAGGGTGGTTTGCAGGTACGGGGAACGCACCCACGACCATGTAACAACAACAACAACAGCATGCACGTGTTGTCATGTACGTCGTGCCGTACAACCTGTTGGTTGTGAATTTATGGTTTGATGCGCTTTCCGCTGCGACCGTGTGCACATTGTGTGTGTCTGTGCATATGTTGTACGTTCACTGGCAGCTGGACCTTTTTGAGAGGCCGCTGGTCTCACATAGCGAGCACCACCTACATACCTCGTTGTCACACCTTTGGACAGTAGCACAACTCAAGGTGTAACAGACACACACAGATTTACTTGCACGCCCGTCTCCTCCCACTCGGGGAGAGCGCTTCAGCGATCCCACTGCCAAGGGTGAATGGCCAGTATCAGATCCAGATCAATGTATAACAGAACATACACTCTGTACACATACAGAGGCACCAACTGCTCGTCGCCACTACTCCAGTCGGAAACAACTCCCAAACCACCAACATGAAGACGGAGACCTTACGGTACTTAGTAAGCTGTTAGTAAGCTGTTACGCGACTCATTTGAAACTGCCTGAAGTCAACCAGAATGCATCTGCGGGACAAACTTATTTCAAACCGCAAACTCCACTTTTCCATTCCCCCCATGCCTCCCTCGGCATCTACACACTCTCCTACGTATGCACACCCCGGCCATCAGTAGTAAGCACGGCGGGGGTTACCCAGCGGGTTGGGGCGGTACTTGTAACCCAGCATCATGCGCTTGCGGTAAGCCTCGTACATGTCGTCTTCTGCGCTCGCCTCACCGTGGGCAGCCGCGCCCAGGCCGCGAGCCTCACCCGCTGCCGGTGCCGCCGCGGGCGCCGCACGAATGGGTGCTGTGATGCCCTTTTGGCTGCCGCCCAGACCCTCTCCCTCCTTCCAGCCCATTTTCTGTAGCAGCTTGTGGCCAATGTTATCAGCGCCTATGGCGTTTTTGTTGGCAAGCTGCTCCGCCTGTGGGCATAAAATGTGTTCACCATAAAATTGGCGTGCGTGAAGGGGAGGGGTGTAGGAATTCCTGATGGGAAGGTCTGGGCAGAAGTATAAGTATATATACACGCAGTAAACTTTTGGAAAGAAACCGTACGCATGGGGTTATATCATCATACAACTCCTTATCCAAGATGGACTCATGGGGTGCCATCGTAGCCAAAGAGATGGCCAAGAAACACGGTGGTGCACAAGAGAGCAAACCGATGCCAAAAGGCTTTCCCCTAGCAGGGGAAAGGGCCGACGAGAGAGCGTTCTCTCCGGCATCTATCTTCTATGATCAGGTAAGCTAAAGAGGTGTTGTACACAACACCTCACAGCCCCCGCTCTTTATTGGTAAGCTGCTTGAAGGATATTCTCCGCACAAGCATCGCCATCTTGTCCCCAAACGCAGAAACCAACGCGCAATGTCCTTCATCGACCTTTCCTACAGCCTTTCAGCCGCCGTCTGTCCATGGCCATCGCCTGTGGATGCAGTTGTCGTACCTGTACGGCTGCCATTTTGTCGCCCGCCTTGGCCATGAACTCCGCCAACACCTCTTTAGGGATGTAGTCCTGCGGGCCAGCGGGGCTTTTGCGGGTTGCACGAGATAGCATGGGAATACGGGCCGGAAACCGGAAAGGGACCGAAACATATTCCTTGTGTTCATATGCGTGGGACTTCCCGCGTCTGTGCCAAAATTATCATTCGTACTCTCTCACAAAATGCAGACTCACAAGCACTTAAATGCAAAATGCAAAACCACTAGTGATTTTACTTCTTGACCTCCTATCTTTCTTCTTTTTAGCACGACTCACTTGTAAATCTCCCATTGGGTCGTTTTAACATTGATACTTACACAACTACACACAAACGCACTGGGATAAGATGAACTACACACGCACACACACCTGCATGTGGTGCCCCCGCGTGCCGTCATCCTTGTACACCGCCAACACCTTGCGCCGCTCGAATGCTGTTTTGTTCAGGAGCGGTTCTGCGCGCTTCCGCCGCGCCTCCTCGTCGTCGCTTCCCCCGCCGTCAGGTTCATCTGGGTCAGCGCTGGAGGACCTTGCCCGGTCGCGCTTCGCGGCCAGGGCTGCAAAGGCCTCCATAGCGGCCACTGAATCACCCTTGGCCAGAGCGATCTGCGCACGGCGACGCTCCTCTGCTAGCTGCTCAGCGGTTAGCGGTGGTGGCGGCATCTGTGGGGCCGGGCTGCCGCGGGAACGAGGTTCCTGAGCACGTGCGCGTGCAGCGGCAGCAGCAGCTGCCGCCGCCGCTGCAGCAACAGCGGCTGCTGCCTCGGGCGGCAGCCCCGAGGAGGAGGACGGCTGAGGGGATGCGTGGGGCTGGAGACGGGAATAGGAAGACGAGGAACTGCCTGGCGCGGAAGCGGCAGAAGAGGGGCCTGGGGCGGAGGTGCTGGGCTGCCCGGACCCGCGGTTGCTGGATGATGGTGGCAGGGGAGGAGCCGAAGTTGAACCGCCTGCGCAGCAGGGCAAGCGTGAAGCGTGGGTTTATAGAGATATTGGTCGCGAGAGTAGGCGGCAGACAGGTGACAACAAGATACAGAGGCTTAGCAACATTTAAGCGCAAAACAGAGCTTGGTTGAGGAGTACCTTTCGCGGCCTCGAACTCTAGTAGCTTGGCATGGTAGAACTGGTAGCCAAGTGAGGATTTGTCGTGCAAGAACCTGCGGAACGGTGTGCGTCCTCGACTTATGTCGCAATCGTCACATCATAACCCGTGGCAGCAACAGAAAGGCTTACTTAAAGGGTGTCTCTCCTTGATTTCTTTCGCGTGTCATGTCCTCAAATTGACGCCCATTCTTGGCAACGAAGTCCGCCAACTTCGTCGCCACGCCAACAACATCGGGGTCCAGCCGAGTTGCGAGTTGGTCGGCTGAAAGTTTAGGGACCGGGGTGAGGGACTGGCCCGTACCGTTAGCTCTTAAGAAAACGCAGCAATGGCCATTGGCCAAAAGTGACGGAGAGACAATCGACCTGATGCAGAGGCAGGCTCCTGCCGCGCCCTTTTAGCCTGCACGTCTTCGTGCTCGTCATCTGAGCCTGCTGCTCCAAAAATATCATTCACTGTAGCTGGCTTCTTTGGCATCGCTATTTTTGCGCCTGCCAGTGGACGCTTATTGTCCAAAGGCCGCCTTTGCAACGAGAAATTTAGCCCTGACATTTTATGCACAAGCTTACATTAACAATACAGGAAAGCTGGCAAACTAAGGGTACATATTTACTTGACCATTGTACGGTGTTCGATACACACTATACTGCAAGGGTATAGTTAGTTAAGCGTCCCTGGCAAGTGAGAAGAGAGGGCATTAGCACTAGCACTAGCATTAACTAAACTGCTTCCGAACACAGAGGAAAAACAGGCGTGCTGTTGGTAGGGTTCTTGACTGGCTTAGTAGCATCAAAGTGCTCAAGTTAGCATATTTGGTTGGAATTATTATCTGTTGGGCAGGAAATGGCTGCGTCTGTGCAAAGTTACTCCTCCAGAAAGCCGGCAATGGTCCTCCAGGACCGCTGGTAGAGCTATGGATACAGTGAGGCCCCGGGGCCGGCGCACTATGACCTGGATCACGCATGACAATAAGCCCTGGCTCGCGTTCCTCTCCTTGCCCTTCCCCCCACCACGCAGCGCTGCCACAATCGCCTTTAGAGTCGATGCTCAGGGCATAGCCGGGAAGCCAAGCCCGCAGATTGGATATATGCAGGCGATCCCCAAGTCTCCGTAGAATGGAAGCACGGACGAGAACACAGAAGGCAATATGGCAATATGCTTTTACCCGCCATCACTATATCATGAACAGCAACAGCAGCCTCAACAGCAGCCGCAGCTGCAGCAACAAGACCAGCTGGCAACTCGGATTTGTCAGCATCCATTCACCGCCGCCATGCCGCGGCATCACACAATACCGTGCCGTACAGTCTCGTCGTACCATCAGGCGGTCCTGTCCTCTCCACCCAAACTCTCCACAGGGTGAGAGAAGTTGACCCCTACCAACAAAGTGGAGCACATGGCCCAGAAGCTTCCCACTCTGTCATAACAACAACAAGTTTATACAAGTTATAACAACGCTGTGTGTCGGCCCGGTCAGGGCCCCCGGTGCTCGTCCTTTCTCGGGACGAGCCGCCCACAGTGTAACACCCCATCAACAACAACACTTTGAACACTTTCAACAAACGTATAAACGTACGCCTCTGCCTTTCCTCCGAGGCCCTTTTGCGGCCTTTGCATCACAAAGCACGCAACAAAATCACAAATGCGTATATGTACGACGCAAGTATACGACAGCACGTAAGAGTCACGGGAACATTGTTTTAATACGTGGCACATCCGCGAGACCCAAATAAGAGTTAATGTATTTATGTATTTGTTTGTCGTGGGGGGTGCGTGCTGTGTTGCCCGTGTATAATAATGCACAAGCTAAGGAACGGAGTTCGTTGTTTAACAAATTAGCAAATGAGCTTGATCGTAGTTAGGTAGGTAGACAGGTAGGTTAGAGATGGGCTTGCTCTTTCTTAAACAATTTAGATTGTAGGCAGATTGAAAGGTGGCAGGCAATCCCCCAATACTCCGCTGTCCAGGTCATTCAGATTTTCCTTCCCAATAAAATTCGATAATACACTACAATTCAACCGACCGTTTCCTGACCAAGACAATCAATACCGAAATCGCCATTGCTGCGGAAGGCAAACCTGCCTGCTCGCATGTATGCGCGTGTGTGTATTTGTTCCTACATGCTGACATACGCGGGCCGGAGCCCTTCCCCCGACCCCTGAGCCACCTGCTCGGAACATTCCTTCTCTTTTCTGTCAGGCACGTGAGGAGTACGATTAGCGTACGGCCAAAACAGGTCGGTCACCGTTTCAGTAAATTTTAGTGTGGGACGGTAAAAGCCAAGAGAGTACTGGGGCACCATTACCTATTCCACCACCATCACCACCATCACTACCATCACCGTCACCTCTTATCACCAACCCTTATCACCATCATCACGACCACTGCCACCACGATCACGGTCACCACATCTCTTACATTACATTACATTACCTGCATCATCATCAGATTTATTCCCAGAGTCAGCAGTATCAGATGTTTTACCGCCGCCAACACCTTCATCGTAGCTCACTGCGCTCACCCGCCAAATCTAGGACGACACACACACAGGCACACGCACAGACACACACACAGACACACACACAGACACACACACACAGACACACACACAGACACACACATAGGCACACACACATAGGCACACACATAGGCACACACACAGACACACACACAGAGACACACACACACACACACGCAAACGTCGGCTCCGAAACACGTCAAGTGGGCGACCCGGGCGGTCCCTGTCCAAGTTGAGAGCTACCCCACGCACGAGTACCTCCCGCACCAATGCGTGTATGTTGTTACAGGGTGGTTAAGCTTCACCAGCGGCCCCTTTCCCTTGGAGGCAGTTCCCTGCTCTCCCCTGCTAGAGGGGCACCCTAATCCATTCACCCCATCCGACTTCAGAATGTATTCGTTGGGTTCGGCAACTCACCACCAGCATCCAACCAAACCTAACAGATCAACGGCGCCTCAACTTAGTTCCTGGTCAGCTCGCAAGTTGATATAATCACGTCCTACACCGTCCACAAGTTGGTGGGCCACCTCCCAATTCAACACCCCTCACACACCCGAGGAGTCGGCAGGTATGTATGTATGTATGTGCGTACGTATGTGTGTACGTATGCGCGTATGTATGTGTGTACGTATGTGCGTATGTATGTGCGTATGTATGTGCAGCAAAACCCGATGCAAAACATGTTGTTCCGTTGGCCACCCCACGTCGTGTAGCCATCGGGATTCGACAATGCGTGCTGCTCTGTTCCTGCAGTTTACATCATAAGCCACATTTAATCTCATCTATTATTACTATGCCCTATGCCCCTAGTCCAGGCTGCTATGCATGCCACGGCCGAGAGCTGACCGAAGTGGTGCGAACAGGGAAATACATACAAGTGGATTAGCAACAAAGGTGGCTACAAACAGCCGCCCTAGAGAGGTTGCCCCTACACATGCATGTTCTCTACAACACACACAACCGTACGGCACGTACGTACGATATCCGTACGGCACCTCCACACGCACGTTCCCAACTTGGCAAATAGCTCTGTCATGATGGCGGCCCGATGTGAGAATGCACATGTGCATACATACATACATTCGTTTAGGTACGGTATCGTATGGTACGGTTTGTTATGGTACGACATCTTGTAACGGGCATGTTTTGTAATATGGTATGATATCGACATCTCTAAAAGGAATGGGAGACGCGGGCAGCACACGGCGCAAAGTAGTTAATTCCATTTTGTTGAGGTCGAAGATGCTGATGCACGCAATACGAAATTACGTAATCAACCGCTGGCCAACCGCTTGAAAAACCGTAAACTAACTCTCAACCGCCAGGGCCGGTAGAGGGTGTGTGATGTAGATCCCTTCTCCACACGCACACCCCGACAGCCCAATTTTCATTTGTCTAACTACAGACAGACAGACAGATAAACTGCGAAACGGACAGACAGACAGACAGACAGACAGACAGACAGGCAGAGAGATGCCAAGGCAGGCAGCTAGACGGATTCTGTTCGGTACGCAGACAGCAGGATGCACAGACAGACATACGCACAGACAGACATATGCACGGATAGATAGACAGATAAGCCTACAGGCAGACAACCCGTGCTTCGCAGCTTCCCCCAGCAGCCCCGCTCCCCCCAACTTTTCCTCCAACACCTCCTTCCCCCTCCCCGTCTCCCATGAACCCCCCCTTCCTTCGGAATACGTCACCTCCTGTACTTCAATTCATCCAAAATATTTATATTATTGATATTAAAATTATTACCTATTTAATTAACATAAATTATTGTCGACGCAGGCCGTGAGTCCCCTGCAGCATGAGCAGTAATAGCAGCCTAACTGCACCGCCTCCGCAACATGTCGTACAACCACCTCATGTCATATCACTCACCACATCCGCATGTGCCTTAGTCGTTAGTTATTCGGTTGTCAGTTGGACATCTTAAACAATTAGTGCATTCGTCAGCCAGCCTACCTGCCCAAACCCAACATATTAGCCCACGCAATCACACGCCCTCCCATCCCCGCAGAAGACCTCCTGCCCTAAGAGCAAGCGCACATACATACACACACACACGCACGCAAACGCACGCAGAAGCAGCAGCTCATCCCACAAGGCAAGCTCCCCAAGATCGATTCCGCACCGGGTCATTTTTCGCTTGCTAACAAAATATTAAAAAAAAATTTAAACCAGCCGGGTTTACTCCCCCCCCTTGGCATCACCTTCACTCGTTCGTGGTTCGTCGCCCACCCGACCCCCTTCAACGCCCCAGCCCTGGCACGCACCCCCCGGGCTTGTATCTCCTTCTTGAGCCGGGTCTACTTCTCCCCTCCTCCGAAACCAATGCGAGTTTAGGATAAGGAAAAGGAAAAGAAAAAACGTGGTCGATTTAGCGGCGCACCGCCCAACTTTGCATCCAGCCTTCCATCCACGCCTTTCAGGAATCCAGGCCCCTGCAACCACCAGCAGGTTCACCAGCATTGCCAGGTGGCTGTACCTGCATTGTCACGTGCCTCGACACGTCCATCAACACGTCGTGTATGACGTATGTATGTCCTGCACAGATGCACGCACGCAGACAGGGCTCCGAAACCCAAACCCAGCCCAACCCGGCTCTCCCCCTCCATGCACCTTACACCTTCCACCCCTCCGCCATCAGGATCGGCCGCTCCATGGTAACTGCGGACAAACATACAAACAGACAGAGATGGACAAACTGATGGACAAACGCAAGGCAATAAATGTATGGATAGCGGACACGGGGAAGCTCGGCAGCAAGCATAGCAGTGGCAATTGCAGTGGCAGTAGCAGTAGCAGCAGCAATTGCAGCAGCAATGGCAGTAGCAGTAGCAATGGCAGTAATCTATCCTTACCCATCTCCGCAGCCTTCGCTCTCCAATCGGGATCCTCCATGTACGACAACTTCTCCTGTACGGCCGCCAATTGCTTGGCGGTCTTAAACGCGGGGTTGTTCGGGTCCTCCAGGGCCCTTTGCGTGAAGCTCTTGCCTGTACGAAGACCCCGATGCTCCAAAACCTGGGGATGGGCCGTACGGCACGGTGGGGGAGGAGGAGGGTGTAGGAGGATTATATGCGACAAGTAAATGGTCTTAAGGTTTTGCGTGATGGTATGATGATGGTGTTTTTAGTTATTGGAATTGGACTTCCGAGCCATCGAGTTATCTCCCCCAGTCTCGTCAAGTCCAACTCCTCACCTCTAAGGATTTATGTACGGACTGCGTCGGTACGAGCACCCGGAGCTCCACACCACCGCCGCCGCCGCCGCTTGCGTTACCATCGACAGCGGCGCCGCTGCTTAGCCTCCGTACCGACGGCAGCTCCCCCCCAAATAGCGTCGATCGAGCTCTTTCGACCCGCGCTTGTTCCCGCGCGTGTTCGTTTGCAAGCCTGGCGACATGTACGGCAGCATGGGGCCCCTGATGGGGCGGCGATTTCCGGTCGGCCTTTTGTTGAGCGTCAACGTTAGTGCTGGCGGCGGCGGCGGCAGCGGCGGCGGCGGCGCTGCCGCCACTGTACTGTCCTTCCCAAACAGCCGTCGTATGCCCCGGAACAGCCCGCCGCTA